GAGAGGTGTGGTGGTGGGGCGAAAATTCTAAACCCATGAACACCACCACCCACCCACGAACACCACCAACAACTAGGAAGACAACAACAGTATCCAAAAACAATCGCAACCCACGAGCAACACCTACCCACGAGCAGAACCTACCCACGCACGAGCAACCTCGAACATGAGCAACTAGAAACGAAAATAAAAAAATAAAAAAAAAGAGAGAAAAGGGAGGGAAGGGAGTGGTGGTGGTGGTGGTCGGAGTCTGCTAAGGAGTGAGAAAGAGAGGAGTGCTGCTTGTGAAAGAGAAGAGTGTGAAAAGTGGGAGTCGAAATTTTTGCCAAAAAATTCGACTAAGTGTAGTGAAAGAGAGGAGAGTGAGAAATACTTTTTTTTTTTAAATGGCAAGCGGTTTTAGGTTTAACCGCTAGTCATTATATATAATGGCATGCGGTTCAACCCAAAATCGCTTGCCAATCCATATCAGAGGTTTTTTTTTCTAAAAAAAAATGGGTTTTTCGAAGCGAATTTTAAAAACCACTTGTCATTTGGGGCCTCCCATTTAGTTTTTTCTACTAGTGTTAGGCGCCCAGCCAATCCTGACCTCCAAAACCACCAGTCCAACGAACCTCGACCTCAAAAAATTCGAGTTTTTGGGAACGAGGTTTGCTTGGAGGTTGTTTCGGGGGTCGGGGGTGGGTTAGAAGGGGTTGGTCGGTCAATGTAGGTGGTTAAGGGGGATCGCTGCCGATTTCTGGCAAGGTTAGGGGTGGGGTTTAGGGTTTGACGGTGGGGGTATGTGGCTATGTAATTTGGGATTTTTTATTTATTTATTTATTTATGTTTTTATTTTAATTATTTTTTTAAAAAAAATTAGACCACTTATGTATTGACACGTGGCTAAGTCCAAAAAAACAAAAAAAAAAACTCTTTAATGGGTTATCAGTCATTGGGACTATTGGAGGCAAACACATAACATAGTTAGGATTATTAGATAATAAACCTTAGTTGAGATTATTAAAAGTAAATCGTCCATAGTTGGGATTATTTAAGTATATTTTTCCAAAAAAAATTGAACCAATAAACGAGCGATGTATGGCAAAAACATTTTTTTTACAAAAAAATTAACCCTTTCTCTAAGTTACCGGTAATTGGGACTGAAGAAGGAAAACACAGGTTAAAGTTGGGATTTTTACTGAAGAATCGAAAGTTGAGATTATTCAAAGTAAATTGGCCAAAGTTGAGATTATTAAAGTGTAGTTTTCCTAAATTTTTTTTAAAAAAAAAAAAACAGTTATTATTAATGAGGGTAAATAAGTAAACAAATATTTATAGAGATATAAATGTCTTCATACTATTTATAAGAGCCTATTTAAACTTTAGTCCCAACTTCCAAGACTAATATCTCTTTCTCTCTCAAAAGGCTTTATGCACTAATTTACATCGACTTGATTTGTTTAATATTAGGGAAAGATAATAGAGTATCTTAGTGAATATCTTATTAATTGACAAGGATATTTATTTGTATATTGTTAGTATTATCTTAGGCAAGTATGATAAACATCCTAGGTTTGATAGGTTTTAATCCTTGTGGCTTAAGGAAATAGCTTGTATAAATATCATATGATGGTGGAATAATAAACCAAACTTTGATTGCAATTATCCTAACATGGTATCGGAGCATGTTAATCTCTAAATTTTTTTTCTTCTGTAAGCTATGACTGGAGGAGACGGCCCCCCAAACTTGAACCCCACTGTGATTATACACTAAAGTACGGTGGCGTCCAAAGGGAAGGAATATAGAGCAAAAGAGTCGCCAACAAGTTTTAGGAATTTGTAAACCGTTTACAGGGTGAAGGTTACACCCCTTAACGATCAAGGACATCGTTAACTCCAATAGGTCTGGAACCAAGACAAGAAGTTCGGAGATGAAGGTACAAATTCAATCTAAAAGAGATTATACTTCTCCTAATAATAGGCCTCTACTTTATTTTTCTCGTATTCATGTGCGCTTTCTGACTAACATACAATCATTAGGTTTACCCTAAACCTGTTTATCTATGTTGGTTAAATATTAATGCACAACTAAAACTATTATTGGCGATCACTTGAATTATAATCATATTAACCCTAAACAAGATTATTAATCATCTTATTAAGCGTGATTACAAGTACAAATTCCCTTTAAACATGCATAAAAGGTGTGATCAAGCAATAACAATAAATATATATCAAGCAACATGATATTAACAAATTATATATAAGTTATTCGTCAATTAACAAATAACATGAAATAATTCATAAATTAATAAATTACGTAAGGTTGTGTTTGGAAACACCTATTTCATTTCAAATAGTTGAATTCAATTCTGAAATTTCAATTACTAGATTTCAATTCCAAGTCCCACGTTTGGGAAAGTTAAGAATTTACAATTTTGGATTTCAAATTCTAAAAGTTGTTTGGCAAAACAAGGAATTTCAAATCCTGAATTTCAAATTCTAATATCTGTTTGGAAATACAAGGAATTTCAAATTCTGAATTTTAAACCAAGGTACATTTTTCCAACAAACTCTAAACAAAAAGACAACATATCAAGATCTAGCTAGTAGTTTTAGTTCACAATCATCTAAATAAAAATACTAATCATTAATACATAATAAAACCCAATCCAATTTTTCCACTTCCGGTAGAGTTTTTAACATTTCAAACCCATCCACCGTCCCATTCATGAACCTTTTCACAGCTTGTAGGACTTGGTGACGTGAGATCCCAAGTACACTTGAGACTACCTCGTAGATCTCCTGTGAAGTTGGCTTCGATGGCCCTTGCGCTCTGCTCACATACTCCTTGCATTAGCTCACTGCATCTGCTAGACGATCTCTTTTGAGCTTCTTGTTTAATCCTCCGGAAGAAGCCTCGGAGGTACTTGCATTATCATTTTCATTCTCCATTGCTGCAGCAGCTTCTTCATGCTGCTCAACTCCTTCACCAGTAGCTCTATCCGAAGCAAACAAAGTAAATATATCATCCCAATTCTCAATGAATTTATTTTGATATGCAGCGGCTTGGGGAGCATCCTACATTAGCAATAATCAACATCAATGTAAGACAAACTATAATCAGAAAAGCAGCACAATAACAAACTATAATCTGATATGCAGCGTCTTTAATATACTGCTGAGAGGCATAGCAAGCCATCAAGAATATACTTCTAAGAAATGCAACATTCTTGATCAAGTTCTAATTACAAGTACATCAGAAGAGCTGATCATAAATACTATACCAATGACATTTTATAAATATTATACTCCAATCCCACTATCTCGGTTATAGAAGCACACTCAAGTTTTTTGCAAAATTCAATGGGATTCAATGGGAAATGCTGACTCCTCTTGATTCTAGGTTAGAAGGTCAGCAGTTCAGCACCATTAGGCATATCTAAAGTTAAGAGAGCAAGCTCCACCAGCACACTTACAACCTTAACATGAGCATGAATGACTATAATGTCAGTACAAAATTTAAAATACAACAATAAATAATGAAATCACATCGGTTGTTTATCAGGAATGGGGTCTTACTTGGTACAATTGTACCATAATCAGTAGCAGCATTTTGTCTATCATAAACTTATTTTGGCCCTCAATCAATCTAGAGGGTTCATAAGTACTGTATTACAAGAGTTAGAAGCCAAGATGTCATGTAATCCTTAGCACTAAAAAGAGAAACTTGTAAATTCAATTTGGCTTTTCTGAGATAATGATATCCTTATGCAATATATGCAAGTTATTTTTAAGGTAGAAGGTCAATGTTGTAGAGGCTCAGTTCAAAGGAAAATAGGAAGGTTTTCAGTTCGGTAAACAAGCCTAGAATTTCAGATTAACATATAAAACAAGCCTAAATTAACATATAAGCCTAAACAAGCCTAGAAGCAGAACAATTAACAATCAACAAGCTGAAACAGATAATAAAACTTCATATTATAGTCTATTCATTGAAACAAGAAATAAATGAAGCATACCGTACAGTACGTATACCAATCAGCAAGCTGTTCTGCAGGGATTACCACCATCTTCTTTTTTTCATCCCATTTAAACTTCGTGTTAGTTCGAATTTCAGTAATAACGGAATAGTGCTTCTTCCAAACCTTAATCCGATTCCTAACATGATCTACAGTTATAGACATGCCCAAGTCATCCCTTAACTTGTCAACCACGGCTTGATATGCTTGTGACTTGAAATCTCCATCACCCTTGTTCCCTTCATTTATTTGCTCAAACAATGTAGAAGTAAGTATCTCATCCATTTTTGAATTCCACGAAACATATCCTCTTCTATTAGGAGGACCCATAGGTTGTTTGCCTTGTCTTTTAGAAGTCATTGTTCCTAAATATCACAATGTAAACATTAGCAGACAGCCAAGATAAAAAAAAAAAAAAAAAAAAAAAAAAAAAAAAAAAAAAAAAAAAATTAAATAAATAAATAAAAATGTGATGAAAACATTAATATGCAGTCATGTAACTCTCTGAATTATACTGTTACATTGACAGGGGTGAGCTGAGTCCATAGCAGTTTAGGCTGAATAAAAGAAACAGAAAGTATTTGTACATCCTAATAGCAAAAAATGCACATGGCAGTAGTAAATAGATAAGAAACAACAGAACCACAGTAAAATATAGCCTAAGAAATCAAAACCATTAATCACCTATTATCCATTTCATTAAGTAGTCAAAATTCGAAGTCTCCTCCCTTGATACTCTTTAAACATCTTCTTGGCAAGTCTATCCCTAAACTCATTCCACTCTTTTGTTGACCGAGCACTGGTAATATAGTCTTCTTCTTCTTCTTCCTCTTCTACATCGATTACTTCCATATTTAGCAAATCTTGTTCTACCTCTTGCATAAGAGTCATTTCTTCCATTTTTTCCTCTCTTAAAAAGTTATGGAGGATGAAACATGCATTAATTATCATAATTTGAGTCTTTTTCCCAAAAAAACTAGGATCCCTAAGAATGCTCTAACGTTTCTTCAACAACCCAAAAGCCCTCTCAATAGTGTTTCGGGCAGAGGAATGTCGTAAATTCAAAAGTTCCATATAATTTGTTGGAGTGTTTCCCCGCCACAAATTTAAATGATAAAGAGTTCCTTTGTAAGGAGCTAAAAATCCCTCACAGTTTGAAAAGCCCAAATCCACAAGAAAGTATTTGTCTGCATTATCAAATATTAGATTAATCATATAAGATTCAATATAAAATTACTAAGTTATGAGGGAAAAAAAAATCTAAACTCTTACTTCTTGGTATTTTAAGCCCATTAGGCCTCCTTAATGCATCATGAAGCACACGAGGATCTGATACGGACCCTTCCCAACCAGGTAAGACATATGTGAAACGAAGATCAGAATCACAAGCCGCTAAGACATTAGTACTAAGGTCACCTTTCCTATCTCGATAGCGAGGACGATCCTCAATAGGGACGGTCATCTTAATGTGTGTTCCATCAAGAGCTCCAACAACACCCTAGCATTATATTTCACAATACATAACATAGGCTAATAAAAAGAAATTTATATCGTTTAAGCTATAAGTCATATTGATTTTACCTCAAACCATTTCCACTTGTTATCCTCGGCAAAACTAGTGGTTTGGTCAACTTGCTTGATGTAATGCTTTCCAATCTTCAAAATAGATTGGAGGACTATATGGAATTGACGACTCATGGTCTCTGCAGAACGGGCAAAGATAGCTTGAATTGTTCTATTTTTCAAATCTTGGGCAAGAATATGAAGAAACAATGCAACTATCACTGCTACATAAATGAGCAAATGCAACCCCTAAAAACCGTTACAATAGGGCAAAAACCCGTTGCTATAGACCTATTGCAACGGTTAAAGGACCGTAGCATTTGTGGCCATTGCATTAGGTTTAATGCAACAGTTCATTTTACCTGATGCAATGGTCCTATGCCATCAACCATGGACCGTTGCATCAGGGCCTAAAGCAACGATTAATAAAACCTAATGCCACGGTTCTTTAAAATTCCTACGGACTGTTGTAGCAGACCTAATGCAATGGTCTTTTAGTTCTAGTGCAACACTCATTACTTTCTATAGAACCGCTGCATTGTTATTATTATTATTATTATTATTATTATTATTATTATTTAATGCACGTAGTAAATAAAATAATTAATAAAACTACTAAGAACAAATAATGTAAACAAAATTATATAACAACCATTTTATTTTTCCTCTAGAAATATGTATATATACATTAAGTAATTTTACATTGATATTTGACTTTGCAAACAATTCCATACCCAAAATATTTATCTAAATAGTTCACAAAATATTTACTAATATATAAACCTATATAAGGATTAAGGAGATTATAAAACCTAATTTTATATGTATCTAATTGTCCAACAATATTGTCACAATAATCCCATCACCATTCTTCCTCCTTGATATACACCATGTTGTTCATCATCATATCGCCATGTACCTATATACATAAAACAAACAACTAATTACATTAGAAAATAAAATCATTTAATCACATCACTCTACATTAAAATAAAAGTTAGTTGAATTTCTTATTAGATAAATTTGTTAGAGAAGGTAATAATACATATTTGTCATAGTACAATGGTATGTTGATACCAACCAAGCCTATATAATTAATTTAAATGTCAAAAAATTAAATAAAACCACAAACCCAAAAATAACACTTAAATTTAGAAACACCCATAAATAATAATCTAAAAACTAATGAGCAAATGAAACAAAATCCCCAAGAGAAAAATATTCTAAAAACATAATTAATAGAAGTAGAAGAATTGAATGAAATAGTAAGGACTTGAAAAGAACTATATATCATGACCAACATAAATTAACTATAAAATAATTAAATACAACAAGGCATTAGCTAAATATTCATTGATTAGTAATAGCTAATTATAAAAAAAATTAGCATGTCAATAATTATAAACAAAAATTAAGTAAAATTGTACTAAACATATTAATACTTCAAATATGAAAAAATTAAAGAAATAAATTTCACAAAACATAAACTTACAAAAAAGATATGATAATTGAAAGTATTTGAAGCTTGATGTTGGAAGTTTGGAGCTTGAAGAGAGAGAGAGAGAGAGACAAGACAGATATGGAGAGAGAAAGAGAGTAGAGGATAAACATTAAGAGTATGTACATGGTAAGAATTTATTTCAAAAAATAATGATGTCCCGCTGAATAACGATTCAAATTTTCGATAAAATAATGGGAGCGGGAAACAAGGCGCGTTTTTAAATTTTCACATTTTAGCACCTAGTGCAACGGTCATTTTTGGACCGTTGCAGTAGCCTAAAATTCCGTTGCATTTGATAGGCTAATGCAACGGTTATGTTAGGAACGTTACAATAGCTTACAAAAACGTTGCATTAGTTTTATCCGTTGCATTGGACCATTGCATTAGCTATCACCGTTGCATTAGACCGTTGTATTAGCTGTAACCGTTGCATTAGACCATTGCTTTTGCTCGTTTATGTTGTAGTGTATCTCTTTTACCGTGACATTTCTTGTTGTCTTTAAACCTCCCTTAGTTTGCAATATATGACATAATTTATTAAAACAACTTATGTCAAGCCTTAATTGCTCTCGAAAAATCCTATCATTTTTTAAAGTGTTCATCCAAGTAGCTCTAGTTAAGGCACGCTCATGCTCATTCCATGTTACCTCCTTAAGCCTATACTTTTGACCATAACATGCACCTACTACTATCATAATAAAACCTATAACTACGACAATAAACTCCATATCTTCGTCATCATCCCTTACACGTTTTAGCGACTCCCAGGTAGAGACTTCCTCTGACATCTTTTCAATTATGAGCTGGAAGAATAAACAATACCCAAACTCAAACTTTGTTTATCTTAAGCCAATTCAATAGTATCATTAACAACTTGTAAGCAACAACTTTTTAATCAACAGCTTGTAAGCCAATTCAATAGTATCTTTCTTTGCAAAATTCAAGCATCAAATCATTCAACAAAGGCAGCTATAAAATCGAACAACCACCCTATTTAATCAAAGCAGTGCTATTTAATTAAAATATCAACACAAATCACGAAAAAAAACATGCAAATCAAACTCAGTGCTATTTAGGTAAGAGTTACTTGTTTCCTTGCAATACATCTAGTTCCAAAGTCAAGCAATGTTAAACCTCCATTAATCCCCAATGTCACTCAAAAGACCAAACTACAACGCTTTAATACCAACACATCTGTTTTACAGCATAAAAAATGGCTTGTTAGATCAATTTTAGTGTTCGATTCAAATCCGAGTTACATGGCTAGAATTTAGCTTTGTTTTAAGAGCTTTTGATAGGTTTTCAAGAATTCAATCATATTTTGGATCAATAATACAATCGCAGCCATCAGTGCTATTTCTCATCAAACTGCAAAAATTAGGGTTGATTAAATTGACAAATCTCATCAAATTACAGAAATTAGGGTTAGAATTGCAACTAATAAACTACAATAATCTGAGCATTAGATTATAGGATTAAGCAACAAATCGGAGAGAGATAGAGCATACCTGAGGAAAGAAATTGGAGATAGAGAAAAAGCTTGACTTCAGCTTCTCTAATGGCGGCACAGGAGAGAGGTAGGAGAGAGAGCAAGGATTAAATTAACAAATTACGTGAAACAATTTGCTAATTAACAAACTACGTTAATTATATAGTTCGACACAATAATAATCATAATCATAATTATCATCATAATCATGTTAAAGCATAATATTAAAAGCAAGATCCTAGGCATGATACTAACAATATTAATAACAAACACTAGCATGATACTAGGAATTAAAATAACAACCTAGACATGATTCCTATATCATAATAACAATAAATCAATTAAAGTACTTACTTGGATGCCTCGTATCTCTTTCTAATAACAAAATACACGCGTTAGTAACTTATAGGAAAATAATAAAACAAACAATTAAATTAAATAATCGATTTTTTCACTACATACCCCTGAGTTTTTTGTTTATTCATCATATACCCATAAAAATTTTCAAATTCACCATATACCCCTAAGTTGTTACAAAAATTCACTACATACCCATAATAATAATAAGATAATCTGAGTAGAATTTGATTAATTATACCTCGAAATCACCTTATATCTCCCACCCTCATCACCAAACCACTCATCTCCGTTTTCCAGCCCCCAAAACCACTCCAAATCTTCATAACCATATCCGTATGATTGATTTTGAGGATGAGAAAAGGAAATTTATGATGGTTTTGGGGGTGAGAAAAGGAATGTAGGTGGTTTCGGGGGTTGGGAAATATATTTAGAGTGGTTTCGGTTCATAATTAACTCTAATGATTGACAAAATTAACAATAATTAGTCATCAAGGATATGTGGTGTATTTTTATGAAAACTCGAAAATATATGATGAATTTAAAAAAGTTTAGGAGTATATGGTGAATAAACAAAAAAACTCAGGGGCGTAAGGTGAAAAACCCGTTAAATAATTGAAATAGAGATTAAGAAAGTTTAGACTAGATTTGGGACCAAACCCTAAGAAATAGCACACCTTTCATGTCTAGGGAAAAGGAAACTTCAAACTTGGCTAGGTATGTCTAGTGCCAGTGTATAAGGAATTGTGTTTTGTAAAAGACTAGTTTAGAAAGAGAGAGAGAATAAAGAAATTCTTGATGAGAGTTGGTCATAATTAGTGAGAAGAATTGATGATTTAAAAACGGAGGTCTATGGACGCTATTTATAAAGAAAATCAGCCAAATATGATAAATAAAGAATTATAGTTTTGAAAAGAATAAAACAAGACGCTGTCGCCGACAACATGACTTGTCGCCAGTTGTCGCCAGGCGACATGCATGTCCTCCGGCGCTGCAAGACAATTTTTACGGATTTTGTTTTTATCATATCTTTTGATCCAAAAGTCCAAATAAGTCATATAATATGTCGTTAGATAGATCTTGAATTCTAATTTTCAAACCAATTAGGATCAGATTAAAATCTTTTGTAGATAAAAAGATATATCCAAAATAGTGGAAGGTTGTCAGTTTTGGATAGAGTTTCATATTCCATTCATATCTTTTTTGTTATAGCTCGGATTTAATATTATAATATATTATTGGAAAGATAATTTCAAGATCTATCAAACCATATAAGATTTGGATAAAGATTATGAGGCACGAAAATAAAACCTGAACATATTCCATTTCGTACAAAACAAGGATTCTTAAAAGGAGTAGTTTTATTCAATTTCAAACTCTTTGAAACATAATTATCAATCCTAACTCCATTAGGATTTAGGAGAACCTTCTAGAGTATTCTAGAATAGTATAATAAATCCTAATAGCTTTAGAAGTGATAATTAATAATAGGCTCTCCTCTAGATCATTGGGCCGCATATAAAAACCAAACCGGACCCAGTTTAGTATTTTAGCCATAACTTCCTCATTATTCATCAGAATCGGGCTTATAATATATTGTTGAAAAGGTCTTTTCAATCCCTATCCTAATACACTATTATTGGACCCATATCATGGACCAAACTAAATTGGAATGCACGTTTTTCATAAATAGTGTAAGAAAAGAAATATTTTCAAAAACAGAAAGAAGAGATATTTTAATAAAAACATCCTCATCACTAGACTTTTCACACTTTCGCTTTGTTCGATAATAAAATGACATGAAAGGTATTCATCACTGGGTTTGGTTTTGGGGAGACACATTTGGATGTCTACAAGATCGTTTGCAACAGTTCCTTCTTAGCCTCTACTATGATTATTATGCAGCCTTGCGCTCTACATTGTTATCTCAAGACCCTTTACCGTCATTAAACGGGGCATTCCAAACAATCGCTCAAGAAGAACGCGTTTGAGGAATTGCTAGCATCAAGGAAGAACCTCCTGAAGTGGTTGGATTTATGGTTCATACGGAGAGCAAGGTCAAGCCGCGACTTTCATGAGCAGAAAGGGCAGCCTTGATCTGCACTTATTGTCAAAAGTCAGGCCATGATATTACCACCTGCTTTGACAAGCACGATGTTCCCTCTTGGTACACTGAAAATTTTGGTTCGAAGGAAGGGACTACAAGGCGCAACAATGGTGCTCAGTCTTCGTTTGGTCGAGGGCGTGGCACTACGCCAACTGCTGCTGCCCCACCTGACCTCGGCGTTCTAGGCTATCCGCCTGCCTCCCCTGCTCAATTTCCACATCTCTATGCCGAGCAGTGGCAAGCTGTCATGGCCGTCATGGGTAACACTCCACCACCATCTCATCTTGTGAATGGAAAGTGGATTATTGATAACAGTTGTTCTCATCATGTGACTGATAATCTTTCTTGCTTGTTGGATGTACGTGATGTACCTCCTTGCAATGTCGGTCTGATGGTCAGAATGTGGTTGCTATGAAGGAGAGAGTTGTCCACCTCAATGATAACATTACTCTCCATAATGTTCTTTTTGTTCCTAAATTAAATAGTAGCTTGATTTCGGTCTCACAATTGTGCTCTACCACACATTGTGATGTCATAACTAACTTTAATATATGTACTATACAGGACCAACGCACGAGGGAGGTGATTGGCATGGGTAACCTCAAGGATGAATTGTACTATTTTCGGGAAAAGGCATCTCTTGCGGCAGTATCAGTTGAAGACTCCTCCATCTTGAAGCTTTGGCATCGTAGATTAGGCCACCCTTCCGAGAAAGTTATAAAGCTACTTCCTTTTCTTAGCAATTCTAGGGGTCATTTAAATGAAGATTGTGAGGTGTGTCATCATTCTAAACACAGTAGAGATAAATTTCCGTTGAGTGAAAATAAAGCATCTCGTATTTTTAAAATAGTTCATTGTGATTCATGGGGGCCTTACACAGAACCCTCATCTTGTGGTGCTCACTATTTTTTTACTTTAGTAGATGATTATTCTCGTGTTGTTTGGATATACTTATTGGTTGATAAAACTGAAGTTTACAAGATGCTTATGTCCTTTATAGCCATGATTGATAGACAATTCTCTCAAAAAATAAAAATAGTGCGGAGTGACAATGGCACTGAATTTTTTTCTATGAAAAACTATTTCTTGGCACAAGGTATACTTTTCCAAACTTCTTGTGTAGGTACCCCACAACAAAATGGGAGGGTTGAGAGAAAACACCAACACATACTTAATGTTGCTCGTGCCCTTCGGTTTCAGGGGGGTTACCAATTTATTTCTGGGGGGAGTGTGCCCTTGCGACAGCTCACATTATAAACCGCACTCCATCAGTTCTCTTAGACAACAAAACCCCGTATGAGTTGTTATTTGGCAACCCACCCTTACTTAATGAATTGTGTGTGTTTGGTTCCTTGTGTTTTGCCCATAATCAAAAGGCAAAGCGTGATAAATTTGTGAGTCGTAGTTGTAAATGTGTCTTAGTTGGGAACCCTTTTGGGAAAAAGGGTATTTATTTGACTTAGATAAAAAGGAGTTCTTTGTGTCAAGGGATGTACGGTTTTATGAGGATGTATACCCTTGTTTAGATTATAAAGCCACTAATATTGAGGTTGCAATGGATCATATGGATGTTAGTGTTGATATAGGGGGTGATTTGAATTTTTTCACCACTCTTGAGGAGGGTGACGAGGGTCAGCCGCAACAGCAGCCACCTGCTGCCACTCCGCCAGCTAGTCCCACGACACACCGGGCTGTTGACTCTCCTCACTCCCCTGCTATGGATCCTACATACGATGAGGTGCATGAGGATGTCATGGCTGCTGATTTGATGGGACGAGGATATCGACAAAAATTCCCATCCAAAAAATTTCGAGACTTTGTTGACACTCATGTTA